TCGCCCGAACGGAAGTGCGAATGGGGAAAAACGGAGAAATTGGGAGAGCGACTGGAGCCGCGCGCGTGTCCTGTTTCCGGTTTACGCACGGACGAAATAAATAAGTTTGACTGATCCTCTGTCAGCATTTCTAAAAAGAGAGATCAGTTAAACTGCAGTTAAAGTTAACGGCCAATAAAGAAGACGGATCTAAATATGTACTAATAAATCAAATCTAACGAAAGCACAATTATTCCGTTGTAGAGAAAATTTTGGACATTTGGTCTTTTTATAAAATTAATAGAAAAAAATAAAAAGAATAAAGAATTATAAAAGTAGGATGTATCCAGAAAGCTACATGTCATGGTGATCGTAAGAATTGAATGGAAACGTAAAACACCTTGTACTAACAACTAGACTTAGCCCGATTAATAGAAATTATCTTTGTCTCCTTTGTCATTAGCTCAACATTTAAAAGTCATCAAGAGTATACATTCCAATGAGAATGAAACAATGAAAGGACCCTCGAGGCGCCGGAAGGATATCCAGCAACGCGTGTCTCCAGGATAGGGAACGAGCGGGGTAATTAACCCCACGAGGAGGGGACAAAACAGGATTCTGGCGTGCCTAATTGTCGTGTCTTACAAAAAAAAAAAAAAAAAAAAAACGCGGTAGTCAATGAGTCGGACTTGTTCGTGTCGTTCAGGATATCGCACGCGGCACAACGTTCGTTACACGCGTTGCGAAGCGAGGCTTGGAAAGTGAATTACCGCGCGAACTGCGCTTAAAACGATTTCCTCCCTCGGCTCGTTTCACGGTTCGTAAGTCACCAGTAACGCGTACGTGTAACGGATTGGGGCGACGTAGGTGGAGGAAGACGCTTCGCTGAACTAGCTGATCCTAGTTGAACATTTACGCGCTTCGGCGCGACCCATTTTCAGCCTTTGTCTATCGCTCTTTTGTCTTGCAAAGAAATTTAACTTTTAATAATTTATAATTTAATAATTTAGATAAATTCGATGGTAGGCACAAAGTGATACATGATATATTGTATATATATATATATATATATATACATATACATATATATATATATATATATATATATATATATATATATATATATATATATATATATATATATATATATATATACTATTATTTATTACTTTGTGCCTACCATCGAATTTATCTTAAATTACTTTTTAAATTTTTATAGAAAATTACGAAAATTAATTTAAAAATTACAACGCCTAGTTTTATTTTATTTGATTATAAAAAGCAAAATGTTTATCATAAAAAGCAAACTATTTTCTATTTTTATAATCCAGTGCGTAATTGATTTATCTAATTAATCGATATGTAATATACCATAGCCGTTTGCTATCGCTCTCGACGTTCACAAACGGATTGACTTTACGTCTCTTCCGGTAATTTCACAGGTCGATAACGACGAATTAATACCACTGGAATTTCTTTTGTCCAACGCCCTCTCATTTTTTTGGTTCGTTCTCGGATATTAATGTAGCCTTGCATCCCCTGCTCGCCTCCGGAAATATCCGTCGATGACTACTTCCGATTCCTACGGACAGCTTATGATTAATAAATTGCAACCGTTAATCGAAGTAAAACATATAAAAAGAATGCTTCTTGTAGTACAATAATAAACAAAACATCAAGATAAATTATACAAACTCAGAATGGATTTTTACATTATTAAATTGAAATCTACGAATGCAAATTTACTTAAAATACATATTTCAAACATTTTTCATGCTTTACATGGCATACTTTAGCTTACGTATCGAAAGATACACATAAACCACAAATGAACGATAAACATTTGCTTCCGTGTATCGCGAGCCACGAAACCAGACGGACGAGTATGTTTGTCTGACGTGCACTAAAGTGGAGGACCACTGACAGCGAGATATCCATACAAATGTCCCTTCTTGATAGTGACTACTGCCAGAAGCCACTTCGACTTGAAAATTGCTGCTGTAAATGTAAAGATTGCCAGATGCTAGAGATTGTAACCCACCACAAAGTAATAAGTGGAAAGAAAACTTTAAAATTCTTTAATACTGTATAACGGAAATTTTTAATAACAATTATTAATTATTAATAATAATTATTAACCCATTATTATTACTTTTAAAAATTATTGAAATTGTATATTAGATATTAATATATCCAAGAATTGTTAAAAAGTATCAATAAATAAATATAAAAATCTAATCTCTTATACTACAATATGTTTTTTAAATATTCCAACAAGCTGCTAAACGTAGATGCAATAAAAAATTACCAGATCAATGCAATCAATGCGAGACAAGACAAGGTAATCTATTAATGTCAGAATGTATTGAAAGATCTGACATCGGTAATTGGTTACGCGTAAATTAGCAGCTCGTTATAAAGACATTACTTTTTAAAGAAGACGGTTCGAGGCGCCGTACTCGTTATCCTTTTCTCTTTTCTGCTCGTCTATGGTCGCGAAGCCAGACTGAAAGTAGTAAATGGGGTTAAAGCGAAACGAGGAGAGGACAGATAGATGCTCGTCCGTGATAGGATGAAGATCTATGGGGAGTCGTGCGTGTGGAGGGAGGGCCCAGCTGGGGGCATAATACGCTGAGGATTTAATGAGGAAGTGAGAAATTAGCGGCCGCTGAGCCGAGCCGCTCGGCTCGACCATTTTCTACTGTCTGATAGTTTTGTCAACCCCCCCTATTGTAGATGGCTAGATCGTTAAAAAAAAACCTAGTTTGAGGCACGTCGAATTAAAGCGCCCAGATGTTCGTTTAAGCGAATTAAACTTCGGGATCTGTGCATCCTCTCGTAGAAGACATAGGGTACATATTTACATTCTCTAAGAAAGAAAAAAAATAAAACTGATAACGATCGATCTGCTAAAAAAGAAATTGTAAATTAATCGGAATTATCAAAAAGGGCGAGGAGTTGTATAACGATGATTTCGTCGTGGCCGTAAATTAGATATTTTATAGATAGACGTTAATCAACAATTTTTTTCAATACTACTCGCGCGATAAGGAGGCGTAAATAAAATAAGCGCTTTATATTTCTGCGTGGACCTTAAACAGAATCGCAAAACAAATCTTGCTATCAAATATGTAATATGTAATATTGTTTGAATATTTATATATACATATACGCACACACACACACACACACACACACATCAATTAATTGAACGACTTAAATTAACTTTGATAAAAATCAATAAAAAAAATCAATAAATCCATTGTAATAATTTCAAATATATTAAAATTATTAAATATTGCTGAATTAAGTATTTCTGTGATTAACAAAAACAATGTTAATATTTATGGCAAATTAATGAGTACGCTTTGAGTTATGTGAGATATGACACTCGTGTCTCGATGATTTATTAGAATTGTCGTAGAGTTTCACCGTCAAATGATTATTAATAACATTTATCTGCCGCTGAAGGTTCCTTTCCACAGACTTTTCGACGAGTTGACCTATGTGATACCCTTAGACACCACCATATATGCACGCGTTATTATTATGATCATTGTTATAATACGACGTCTCGAAAGATCGTTCACAGTCCGCGTTAAAGACTTGCGACTTTTTTAAATACAAACATATGATAGCAATTGCTTGTTAAAACCTTAATATATCCGTAAAATATGTTGAAAATATATATATACGTTAAAAGAAACAATAATATTAATTAAGATTCAACAAATCTGTTGTCGAAAAATTATCCGATTACGTTTGGATTTTTAATTATTTAGACTTTTAATCCGCGATTATTTAATCCGCAATTTCTCTTTTATCGAAAATATATGGAATTTCAATATTTAGATGATTATAACTTTGTCGAGAGAATTCATAAATACCTCGTTCGTATATATCTTAACAGCAAATGTGTACATGATGTAAGACAGCGACAAAAAAATATCAGTTGAGAAACAATGTCATATCTCAATCCGTCTTTGTTTTCTTTTTTCGTAATTAAATTTTATTCTTTGAGTGTGGTTATTGCATTTTTCTCAAAAAAAAAACAGAACTGGCGTTAAATTAAAGTATTTAATGTAAATCAATTTCCAACAAAGTTTTAATTAATTTGAATAGTAGAATTAGATCAATGATAGGAATACGTTAGAATTTTGTTCAAGGAAATTAGGTTTCTCGTACGATGTGATTTGCTTATTATTCCGCAATGCCTGAGTGCAGTATTATTTATATGCGGCGCCTCTCGAACTAAAGCGGTATGTCAGTCTGCCAATTGCTAAATAGCACCTCTTGTATCCGGACATTAAAATAGATCTTCTGCTATACATTACAAAATTACACTTATTTATTAAGACAGATGAAATTGTGGCACTGGAATAAAAAGAAAACTACAACGGCAGAAACTACGAAATTATCAAAAATTCATTATGTAGCACAAGTTCCAAAAAAAGTGACGGCGATGATCGAAATGTTTCAAATGTTTATGAATCTATCAAGACTTGCTCTCTCAAGCCACTTGAAATGAATTGCTTCTGTGTATTTATACTACCAGTTACATTTGAATGCATTTTTATTCTAATGTTATCTTTAAAAACTCAACGGCACTTATATATATAAATGCCTGTTTGAATTACGAAAGAAATTTTTCACGTTGAAAAAGAAAAAAATAATCAGCAAAATAATCCAAAGCAAAATTGCAACAGTAATATTAAAAAAAAGAATCATTCATCAAATCTGCTTTTCATCATTAATTCTTTTCTCTAATTAATAATTATTTCTTTATATGTGTTATATAGTAATTTTTTAAAACTCACAAATTTTAGAAAAATAAACAAATGAAATAAAGTTAATATAGAAATAAATGCGTTAATATATTGCACGTCGTCAGATGTTAATTAAATTGATTTAAAGTGGCTTAGAGAAGCTTTACATTTTTATTTGATATTAAGAGGGAGGGATAGGGTTTCTTTTTTTGAGATTACTCTCAAGAGAGTTTCATGGTCGTATGAGTTGCATCGATAAACCACAAGGTAAACAACGTGCATTGACGCAGTTGAAGCTGCGCCGTACGCGTCCTCGGCTACCACTAGCTTGTTGTCGACGACAAATGCCCACATCCTCTCGCGCAGAAAGTTAATGCGTTAAACTTCAGTTCGCAAATCCATGCTCGACATGGATGGTACCACGCAACGAACGTCTTATGAACGTGGGCGTTACTTGAGACACGTGCCATGCAGCCCGAGATCGGACGCGGCCACGAAAAATTACGGTTTCGCCACACGCAGCCGCACGAGTTATGTCACGTCGCTCCGGATAACGTGACCCATTGTTCGGCCACTTCCGGAGCTGTATTTTAGCGAATTGTAGAAAACGCTCGATGACCTTCGATGGGAGGATGCGCGTCGGACAGACTCGATTTTCGACAAATCCAACATCCAACATCGCGTGGAGTGATTCATCCGAGACATGAAATGTCCAAGATGTGAAATACGAACGTGCGAGATGACGAAACGTTGTAAATCTTTGCGAAGTATTAAAACACTTGTCGTTTTAAAGAAGAACGTAAATTCTTTGAAGGTTTGTCCTCTGAAGATTTGTTAAATTAGACGTTGCGATACGATAATAATAAGATAAGTAAGATATCTTACTCATGCTCATCACCTTTCAAAAGACAATTCATATTGTCTTCAGTATGACTTGTATAAAGATAAAATTTTTCTCGTATATTTAAAAAAAAAATATATTATCTTACGTGTTATCTAGCATGTAATTAAAACGAAACCTATTCACACGAGAACAACAATGTGTGTTCGAAAAATTAAATTAGATTCTCATAAGACGAAATCAACGAGAAAAACACGATGCATTTGCTGGATTTGGTGTTTTACCGGAAAGAAGATCAAATATGTGCTATGTTCTACATTTTTGATACAGAATTCTTGCGAGATGTAGAAAGTCTGGATTCGCTCCTTTCTCGAATATGCGATATTGTCTTTATTGTCATTTTCTTATCTTTATGCTTATTGTTGCAGTGTACGAAAGGCTGCGAAGCATGGGAACAGGCGCTCGAGACAAGCTGCCAAGCTGTTTGCGTTAGTATCGCTGCCATTTTTATGATATTTATTATCGAACGAACTTACATAAAGCCGTATTAACGTAATTTTTTTACATAGCTGTTTTATGTAATGTTTTTCCAATTCTGAGAGAAATAAATGCGTAACATTAGCTCGATGTATGTTTGCAGAATGGAACGCAAGAATTGCTACCGCCGAAGGAATTATACTGCGTTTTAGGCTGTCACGATGCGTTAAATCGTTATTTTCAGCAGCTCAAAGGTAAACCACGCGATCTTTCACGCGATAGTAATTTATAAATTATAAATTGCTCACACAAATTATCCGATAATAATATACCTATTATGTAGGTATAGAAAAATTATTGCTGAATAGAACATTTTTATTTATTATTAACGCAAGACAATATTTTCTCAAACTTATAATTAAATGTCACTCTTAGAATGCAATCAAGCTATGTTTATATAAAACAATATGAAGAGAAATAATATATATATATATTAACGATTAGAAATAATATATATATTAACGATTAGGTATTATATATATATATATATATATATATATATATATATATATATATATATATATAATAATAA